CGTCACGTCCCTGTTACTTTGTCACGCGAGATTTGTACGGAATGTTTTGAAAGACACGTGAGCAACACTTTACAGGGTGATAAAATGCTGCATTTCTTATATTTTGTTTAGATTTTTTAGTTTCCTACGCTTATAAAGGGTTAAATTTGTTATTAGTGGAATCGAAATGGCTTGGATGGAAGAATAACAAGGCCGAATTGTTCACAACTGACATGGGATAACAAAATAGCGCTAAATTTGGACAACTTTGTGGTGTTACCTTGTCGATGGTTAAACAGCTAGGATGTACTTGAATCCAAGTTAAAACTTATTTAAAACGTGCTTGATACCATTATGTCTGAGCTGACGTACATATTTGGAAGGATTTCAACGAGATCGGCGATAAACAGCGGAGTAAAGTGGAGAATTTGGCCAAATACGTCCATTTGCAGGAGGTCGGCAGATTTCAAATTATTATTTCGGTCACAAAGTATCAACTATTTAACACCAAAGCAGTGATAATATACATAAATAAGTATCAATTATGTTTCTATTAAAAAGATTTAGGAAAAAAAGTAATGTAAGTCCACTGCTGTTTATCTAACTTGTAAGTCACAAATTGACGTTTGACTATGAGTATTGCATGGTCATTTTCTTGTGAAATATCAGTGCTAGGCATTTCACACTTACCAAGGACCACCCCTAAAACCACCATCTCTGAACCATATAAGCACCTCAGAATAGCCAAAGCTTTTATGGTTTGGTAGATAGCACTATGGCGAAAGCGTCGTTTTTGGATGTGGTCAGTTTCGGACGTTTCGCCCCGGATTGGGGTTCGGGCAGCGTTACCATGTTGACCGTCATGGTCAACTTGCCCTAAAACAGTTGAGATTATCTGTCCTAAATGAAATGCATACAAACTCATATACAGGTCCTAGACTAAATGCATGATGAAAGTTATTGTTGTTTTTTAAGCGTTTATTAGCAAGTGGGAACGACCAACATGGCCAACATCTATTCAAATGGGAGTAACCGCTGGAATATTCTTGGCTTCAATTTTACTAAAAGAGATGCGCTATCTAGTATATATAAGATATCTATGGTTCTCCGGCCATTTTGGATGAACTTATGTACCTGTGCATATTAATTATTCTTTTTTGGTGCTTATTTGAGTAGCCTGCGACAAGGGGTCCCGTGGTTGATCTCAGTTCTTTTAGGTTATCGTTTTGCCATGGTACGAGTTACAGTATGTGGAGAACCTTGAGGATGGGATGCATTATACGGCAGGAACTACATTTATCGGGATGTTGAGATGACCAGACGTTTCTCTACATTAGAGAGGTGCAAATCCGATCCGAAACCAATCCCATCCGATCGGATTCGTTCGGATTTCGGGGCCATGATATTCACTTCGGATCGGAAAAGTATTTTTGTAGTCGGATTGCATGGGCTTCGATTACCAGGGCTGCTGTGAAAACTGAAGGCTTACGGCGCTTCCGTTTAATAATTTTCCCATTTTATTTATTTCTGATTGTCTATTGTCTAACCCTATATGTAAAGAATAAAAGATCTGAGTTCTTTTGACACGAGATTGCGAATTGGCTTCTGCAAAGACTATAGTCTAGAATCTAGAATCTAGAATCTAGAAATTAAAAATTTGACATTCATATACCGTTATACACTTGATTTATTGAAGGTTTTCATCGGATTTTTTTCGGATCGGAACGCTTTAATTAAACTCGGATCGGATTGGATTTGGATCAGGCAATTTCGGATCGGATTTGAAACAATTACCAATTGTCGGATTGTAAACCTACAATCCGATCCGATGCACACCTCTACACTACATATAAGACTGCTACGCAGGAGAGAGTTCGTGGTTGACTGGTTTGCATGCACCCTCCAAATACCATTCCTGTGCTAGTGCGATTGTACGTTATTTAATCAATATATACCAGTGTGTTATACCTTTTTCTTTCTTTATTTAGTATATATTTTCACATCGTTTGGAAGCACTTGAAGTACCATAACTTGAAAACTTTAAATCTTACCATCAATAAGTCTTCCACCAGCACTATTACTTCTCTCAACGGAACGGAGTTTTCTCTGAATTCTGTCAGCACTACCATGTCTTTTATTTGTTTGAGTAGTGATTGTTACCGCTGCTGAGTTAAATTGTACGTTGCCACTACATGTATCTAAATGAAAGACGTTTTTCAAAAACACTCCACTAGCATGAGGAGGAAACCACTAATCTGCATGGAAAAACAAACTCATCGTCTTGTATATTATATATTAGCTAAACTTCAATATTCCGAAAAATTGTTCCTGCATTCTGGCAAAGACTTCAAATAAAATCGGTATAGATGCATGTGGTCTGAAAACTCGGTCTCTATATAATGAGTTATACGATTGGTCACATTGCTGAAGTTCTTATTCACTCCTTCGTCAGCTCAAAGCTTGACTTTTGTAACTCGTTGTTCTATGGTCTCCCCAAATATGAAATTAATAAGCTGCAAAATGTTCAGAATGCAGCAGCTCGAGTTATAGCTTGTCTGCGTAAATACGATCATATTACTCCAACTCTCAGGATGCTTCACTGGTTGCCAGTACAGCAAAGAATCATTTTTAAGATCAATTTGATGTGCTTTAAAATAATGAACAACATGGCTCCGACATATTTGCAAGATCTTTTATGTCACCATCAGCCGGCAAGGTGTCTTCGATCGTCCTCAGACAAATGGCGTTTTGCAGAACATTATAATTTAAAGACATATGGCTACAGGGCCTTTTCAGTTGCAGCACCGAGAATTTGGAACATGCTCCCAATGAACATTAGATCGATTAGTAACATCAACATTTTTAAATCTGAATTGAAAACACATCTTTTTAAACAAACTTACGATTTGTAATTACTTTTAGGTTTTAATTATCATTCTTTGTAACTCATTAGTTGTTTTTTAACATTTATTTTATAACAAAATCGACTGTAAATATAGATAATAATTTTGTAAATGTAATATGACATTGTAAAGCGCTTAGGACAGCAATGTATAGGCGCTATATAAATATCATTATTATTATTATTATTATTTTATGTTGAGACGGCTTTCACCCTTTCATCGTGCACAAATCTTTTGAAATTTTCCTTATTAATGTTTCAACGTAAAGTAAGTTGACCAGTGATTCGACCAAATGATGTTATTGGATTGCTTCATTATGCCAAAAATGCATTGTCTTCACCGTGTGCAGAGTTTCTGAACCATATTTTGATTGACTTTGATTGAAATCAGTGGTATACATACGTTACGAGAAAAGCCGTTAACGATATAATTTCTTTTTGTGAAGATGTAGATTTTAAACACAATTAATAACAAAAATAATTGCGCATTATACAGTATATTTGGCCCGGCAAGATCTTAAAAATAATCAAATTATAATATATATAACATTTTAATCATTTACATTTACCCAGGGTTCGTACAGGTCGGGAAGAGTTAAATTCAAGGACTTTCAAGGTCATGTACAGTACATATCAGAAAATTCAAGGACTAAAGGCTGAAAAGAAGGCGTTAGAAATCAGTAAAGAGTGACGTTAAAATGTTCAAACGGCAACTTTAATTAATTTCAAACAACTTTGGCCTTTGTAAGACATGATTGATGAACAATTTAATCAACTTACAAATATGGCGAGAAATATACGACAACAATTTTGGAAAGTTTGCATGGGCAAATTTCTTTCCGCCCCCTATTTTTTTCCTTCCCGTATGCCTATGTATATAAATGTATATATACTAAGGTGATGCCAATGTAAAGGTGCATGGGTAAATATCAGGATTTAGGGAATTAAAGTGCTTAGTGACCATAATAGTATCATCGTTTTTCCAGTTGGGTAATTCCATGGTGACTCATGTTACATTCCGAACTAAACTATCAGATTAATTTTGATCTGGTGTAATAACTAATATATTTTTTTCTGTCACATTTTTTCATGCAGGTACAAACAATGGTAACATTGGTAAGCTACTGATTCACAGTAAAAATTAGACATTTGATTATAACATGATAAGATTGGTGGCCGTAAATTGGTGTGTGACTCATGTTACGACAAAGTGACATGAAGTAACACCAACCTAACTACTTTTGAATTTCTTCGGGAACCATAGGAAGGAGAAACATACAATGTCTATATCAAGTAACAGACTATATGTTAGGCAAACTACCAATACAAAGAAATGTTATATTTTGGATTACAATAGTAAGGATTGCTACATAATACAATTGACTCATGTTACGCGACTCATGTTACATATAAAGCACATCTTAATATTTCAGTTCAGAATTGTTTTCAAAAGCTTCTGAAAATTCTTGCCAACTTTTTTTTCAAAAAATGTCATCATTACCATGGAATTACCCAGTTGAGCTATCGTAACGTTGTGTTTCCAAGCTTTTAATTATTCTAATGTATAGTATACTTTTTCACAAACCTGGCTGTAAAACAAGAAGTCCATTTGAAACTGGCTAAATGAAAAAACACAATTAGACAATGTTTAGTACAGTATGTTTACAATATGAATTTGTACAACAAAATTAAGTTCTGGATATGATGATTGTGTAAATCAAAATTACAAAATAATGTAACTTGCTCTAATATTTATCTTGCATACACATCAATTACGTTTTTGTATGAGGCAAATATTAGATAAAGGATTAACCAATTGCAGGGGTGTATATAATTACAAGAGGGGTTACTTCCCCCCCCAAAATTTTTTGGAAGGGTTACTTTCTTCCCCAATCCTGGAGTGGTTTGGACTCCTAAGAAAATAATTAATGATTGAGTAGGTAACACTCTGGTTTTGAAGTAAGGTTGATGTTCATTTCATAAAATCATATATTTTACATAATTACATGTGTTAATAATATTATTTTTATGAACAATATTGAATTATTCATTCAAGGGGCCTACTTAGTAGCATTTAATACCACTAAGGTAGTATTTTGTATTTTATTACAATACCAGGAGGCAGTATATTAAAAGCATGAATTACTAGCCATTGGAAGAATTTTGCGTCACACGTAAAGTCAGTTCGATGGATGGAAAGTGGAAACAAGAGAAAACCATCTACTTAAATGAACTTTATCTGAATGTTACATCAAGTAACGTCGCCATTGCCGCTGACCTATACAAACTCTGGGCGCACGTCGAAGTTGATAAACAAATTTAAACAAAAGATTTAAATTAAACAACTGATAAGTAGTACAAAGTTACAAATATGACAAGGCCAAAACGTGAGGGAGGAAGAAAGAAAGGGAGGCCACAAAGTCTTGCTGGTCAGGTGGATACTCCGCTTTCCCGGCAAATATACAAATACAGGGTTTGTGACACTGAGAAAAGGTCAGACAAACTTCGTAATCATTATAGAAAAAAAGGTTAAGTTTGATGAAATTGGCAAACCTATTGATGAAAATTCAGAAGATACGAGATAAATTTCCGCCCATGAAACGACCTGTCTCCGCTCCTCTGGTCCTTGGGATTCGTGCAGACAGCAGGTAAAGATAAGCAAAGTCCAATCGTCAAGTGATAATGATAAAGATGGTGATGCTGATCTTGACGAAAGTGGTCGACAGGGACAGTTTGAAACAGATACTGCATCAACCTTTGTTGATAATTCAAGTGAAATGACTGAAACCTTTGATAAAGCAGCTGGATCTCCTGACCATACAGTTCAATCTGAATTAAGTAACTACAGTCAGTGATAACAGTGGTACTGGTAGCGATGCAGCTCATGCAGGTAAAAGGGTTAGTGTTAATGTACAGTTTCACGATGAAGCAGGAGGTGCTTTCCCTCGTCTTGTAGAGGAGGAGGATCTAGGTAGTTCACAGGATTTGCAAGATGAGTTACATGCAGCCATGGGACTGATTGGAGAGTCTGGAGAGAACTCAGAGAAGCTTACATGCCAGCCAGAACATCACACTACAAGTACGAAGTCTCAGTTAAACATTGAAAAGCTATCAGAGGAGATCTTTGAGAGATTTTCTGCAAAGTTTCAGGACTCTTCGCCCAGGATATTACAAGGGAGGTTGTTAAACTACTTGATACTTCAAATGAACAGGAATGTCAGTACAAGAAGGTAAATGTCTGGCATGATGGTGGAGATGATGAAATAATTTGCATTCCATGCTCAGTTTTTTCCTCTCATGAAAAAGTTCCAAAAGAGTTAAAACGATTTCATAAACATGGCTTTGGAACCTTTACGAAAATAAGCGAAACTGCTTCCACCCAGACAAATAAAGACCGCAGCAAGAGAATTAATGCACACCTCGAATCTCCCCTCCATGTCTGGTGTGCTAATTTTTCTAAATTAGAAGCAGAAAATGAGGAGAAATGAAAAACAACTAATGAAAAGTTACACAAAGATTGTTATAAATGCCATCTACTGTTTCAGAACCTCCGGAAGTTCATATGATTTTGTTAGACTTAACAACAAAGATGAATTAACAGCAGAAGTCTTTGGTGAATCTGCAACAAAAAATGATGGCAGAGAACAGTTTTTTTGAACTGCGTAACATTGTCTTTTATAAAGTAAATTATTATATCAAGCGATTGTTTCATACTCTCAAAACTGATTCCTTCTCTCTGGAGAAAGTGACTGTTGGTGGTGTGCCGTACACAGTACTGGTAACTTATTTTTTTTACAATGGACAAATACATTGTGTTTTGAATAACCTTCACGTTATGCGATCATACGAGTACAGCGGAGAGGAGACAGCTAATATGATTGGGCTTGATTTAATGGAATCCCTGGGGTTGACTCGAAGACAAATCAGTGAAATCTTTGGTCACATTGCATATGATGGAGTTTGTGCAAGCACAAAAGAGAGAACAAGGTACAAGATCAGTACAAAGGCCGATTTCCATTCAGTGCAAAAAAATCGCGCGATCGACTTTTTGCGATCGCTTTCTTTTGAAATGTGTGCAGTCAACCACAGCTAATGAGATTTGTTCCGCTTGACTGTTTGTATTTCAAAAGAAAGCGATCGCTAAAAATCGATCTCACGACATTTTGCACTGAATGGAAATTCGCCTTTAGGAGGAATAAGACGTTCACTGTTACAGTAACACTTCTACTGTTGTACGTCAGTGATAACTTAATATTTGCTAATTAACCTAATTTTAATATTACTTTAATTCCTATATCCAGATCCTAGAAATTTAGTAATTTGCACAAGTGACAACTAACGTACAGTACATATTACAAGTACTCTCAGTACTTAATAGTTTTTCATAGGTTCATTTCATATTTGATACTCCCCAGGGGAGGAGGATCTCTATCACTTGTCTATCACTTTTTCCGCTGGTGTGGTCTGGGTCCTGATGATCTCTCTGGACACTGGGATATGGGCCATCTTCTGCAACTAGTCTATGGCGATGTACTTCTAAAGGATAAGGATGTTGATCGTTTCAACACCTTGATGTATACGCACATGACTAATCATAGATCTGGACAATCTGGTTGCTATTTCAAGGAGGTAGCTATGGAGCTAAATCATGCTGTTCTGACAAACAAATCTAAGCAAGAAACTAGGTGGGTGCGCTCAGAACTCAGGTTTTTGCAAGCTTGGTATCGAAATCCACCAACTATCATCCATATTATCTCAAGCTGGGAAGAAGCAGCTTGTAGGTCAGGAAATGCAACATTATAAAAGCATGCTTGTTTGATGTTACTCTGAGTGTATATTCACACCGGGCAGGCTTGAAAAATATGCCCGGCCACGGTGGGATTCGAACCTACGACCTTTGGAACACTAGCCCAATGCTCTGCCAACTGAGCTATGCGGTCAGGTCGGTTCGAGTATGCGATATTTCGGAACTGAGTCTAGTTCCTTCGATATCAGTGTAATCTAATAATCATGATATTTGCTGTGTTGGTGTAATGTACTCAGGTGAATAAGATGCTTGTGATGTTACTCGCAAGGCTTAAACCTTTTCCCCACCACTGTTGCATCTGCTTCCTTGAAGATGTGTGCTGATTTAAACTGAAGACCTCAGTGATGAATGGAAGTGGCCCAACGAAGATCTGAAACTGGCTGAAACAGAAAACCCTATGCAAATCATACAGAATCTAGAAAAGGGCATATATAAACCACATCTCAGTCAAGCAGTGAAAATCGACGCAACAAGAAGGATTAATGTACAAATCCATGAAAATGAGAGATTTCGGGATTCAGTTGCTGATGTAGATGATACTGTACAGGATCTTTTAAAATTAAACTGTAACAAGGTAACAACGTCAGACCTAAACATTCCAGAAATCCCCGTTACAGGATTTGAAGCACAGGACCGAAATGAAGTAGAAAATAAATTGAAGAATTTGTGTGGAAATTTGTGTGGAAATTTGGTAAAAGCCTTCAATGAGAGAGTGCAAGTACCGAAGCTTATAAAAGATTCAATTACTTGCTTTGCAACAGATAATGTACATAATGAGCACGAGCAGGCGAATCAACTGCAGCAGATTGTGAACGAAATTAAAGGACCCAAGGCAGAAAATTTTCAAGACACTACTGACTCCTGTCTTGTTGGTCTCAAGATGTTTAAAGACTTTGCAAAGAATGAGAGAAATAAGACACCACAATTAGACTTGAAGAAGTATACAAGAAATTCATTGGCCAGTTTTGTATTCCACAGATCAAAGTCTTCAGAGAGCTATTTGAATTTATCCAAATTAGAACGTACAGTGAGGCAATTTGTGAGACAATTGGTTCCATAATGACAATTGCAATGGGAACAGGAGAAATCTGAGCCCTGTAAACTTATCAAAGGAAGTCTGCTTTCGGTTTAACCTTCCACCACTTCAAATTTGCAAAGAAAGCATTATACCAATTATCGTTCAAGAATTAGTGAATGAAAGAGCGAAAACATACACAAGGAAGGGTAACAAAGACAACAGAATATCACGTTTTTTCAAATACACACACATTCCAAGTGCACTTGGAAATTTTAGGAAGACAGCCCATTTACCGATAGAAGTTTTCAAGGGATAAAATTGTTAATAAATAATTATTATTTAATGCATTCGATTTCTGAATTTCATTTATTAATTTTAGATTCCTTATCTTTTTACCTATATTTGTCCTTAACCCTTACCTTTCCATCTTTAATTTAATAATTTGTCTTTTCTCTCCATCTTTTCATCTTTTTTTCTGTCCTTTCCCTTTTTCCTTTTCCCTAGAGCTATTCCCTCTTCCCTCTTTTCCTTCCCTTTCCTCCTTCTTTCCCTTTCCTCCTTCTTTCCCTTT